GACACCGTAGGCCACCCAATGAGAGAGCGCACATGGCTGCCTCACCGCTGCCAAGCGAACCACTCATCCCCAATGAATACCAGGACCTGGTGGAGGCATTTAGTGAAAAAGAATGTGATGCCCTTCCCCCTCACAGATCCAATGACTGCTTCATCGAACTGGTGCCAGAAGCCAAACTCCCATGCCTGAGAATGTATGCTATGTCCCCCCTTAAAATGGAGGAGATGCAGCGATACGTGAACAAAAGCCTAGAGAGGAGGTTCATCGAACGGGTCAAATCGACCATGGGAGCCCCTGTGTTGTTTAAAGAGAAAAAAGATGGATCTCTTCATCTCTGCGTAGACTATAAGGGTCTCAACGCTGTGAGTGTGAAAAATAAATATCCCCTCCCCCTCCTAAAGGACCTATTAACCCATCTGGCTAAGGGGAGTGTCTTCACTAAATTAGACCTGAGAGAGGCATATTACTGGGTGAGAATAAAAGAGGGAGACGAATGGAAAACTGCCTTCAACTGTCCTATGGGGAACTATCAGTTCAAAGTCATGCCATTTGGACTACAGGGGGCCCTAGCTGTATTTATGCAGTTGATTAATGAGGTCCTACATGATCACTTGTACAAAGGGATTTTGGTGTATCTTGATGGCATCCTGATATACAGCACAAATATAACTGATCACATAAAGCTGGTGAGAGAAATGTTAAAGAAACTATTGAATGCCAAGCTTTATGCCAAATTGTCAAAATGTGAATTTCACCAGACCCGATTAGATTATCTTGGCTACAGAATTTCCAATGAGGGCATTGGAATGGATCCAGCCAAGGTGAAAGCTGTAATCGAATGGCAGCCCCAAAGACTCGCAAAGAGCTCCAGAGCTTTCTGGGTTTTGCCAACTTTTATTGTCAATTCATTCCCTCTTTTGCTGAGATTGCCTTTCTCCTTACAGAACAACTCAAAACAGGCAAAGGAGGAGGGAAGTGACCGGGCCAACCACTAGCATGGATGATGAGCTGTCAAACAGCTTTTGAGAATTTCAAGAGATTATTTGCTGCTGAACTGGTCCTAAAGCAGCCCTGCCCAGGGGAGCCCTTTGTGATTCAAGCCGATGCCAGCGATGTGGCAGTTGGAGCTGTATTACTGCAAAAGAAGAAAAGTGGGGTCCTGCAATCCTGCGCCTACACCTCTAAGAAATTTACTGAAAGCGAGCGGACATGAGCAATCTGGGAGAAAGAGGCCTTTGCTATTAGGTGTGCGCTATTAAACTGGCGACACTATTTAGAAGAAAGCATTTGAAGTATGGACAGATCACAAAAATCTAGAAGCACTGAAAACTCCCCGCAAATTGTCCCCAGTGGGCACAGTACTTTAACTGCTTCAACTTCACTCTAAAGTACATACCAGGAGGAAAAAAACCTCCTAGCTGATGCGCTATCCTGGTTACCCAATACAAAAGCGAACGGGAGGAGGTTAACGAGGCAATTATCCCCAACCCACAAACTACCACTCAACACATGCCTCACAAGGTCCCCAATCCTGATGACCCTGGGGTAAAGAAAATAAAATGAGAGCTCCTCACCGATCAATGGTTCAAAGATAATCAAACCTCCCTAACATGCAGGGATGGCTTGGCTTACAAAGGGGGGAAACTATATTTGCCAGAAGCCCTCCATCTTAATGCTCTCAAACACAGCCATGATATAAAACAGGCTGGACACTTTGGATATTTGAAAACCCTACACCTCAACCGCCGGCAATTTTGGTGGCCGGGGCTGAAAAGGGATGTGGAAAACTATGTAAAAAGTTGTACTGTATGTGCCACAATGAAAATAATCCCAGGAAAAACCCCTGGGTTACTGCAACCCATGGTAGACCCTACTCAACCCTGGGAAGAAATAGCTATGGACTTTATAGTAGACCTATCTGAAAGTAGAAGAAATACTGTCATCTGGACTGTAATAGACCTGTTCTCAAAGCAGCTCCTTTCATCGCCTGCAAAGGACTCCCATCTGCCCAATGACTGACCAAATTGTTCCTGAAACGTATTTACCGGCTGCATGGCGACCCTAAGTGAATAATTTCAGACAGGGGGGTGCAGTTCACAGTAAAGCTTTGGAAGAGTTTTCTTAAACTAGTTGGATCATCTCAAAGTCTATCATCGGCTTTTCATCCAGCCACCAATGGGGCTGCAGAATCCGCTAACAAAATGGTGGAGCAATATCTTAGATGCTACATTTCTTACCAACAGACGAACTGGATTGACCTCCTCTCTTTTGCGGAGGTGGCATCCAATAATTCTGTGCACAACAGCACCAGCTACACGCCTTTTAAAGTGGCCACAGGAAAAGAGTTCAGCCCAATATCTGAATACCCTCAGGTGCCCTCTGCTTCCCAGACACTTGACCAATGGGTGAGGGGGTTGGAAGAAGTTTGGAAAAACACAAAAACTGCTTTAAAAAAGACATTTGAAACCTATAAAAAGCAGGCTGATAGAAAGAGGGCTCCCCAAAGAACATTCCAAGTTGGGGAAAAGGTTTATTTGTCAACTAAATATTTACACCTCAAATTGCCGAGCAAGAAATTGGGACCAAAATTCTTGGGGCCTTTCCCCATAGTAAGGATCATCAATCCGATCACCGTAGAACTAAAACTCCCTAGACTTCACCCAGTCTTCCATTGCAGCTTGTTGAAACCTTATGGGGGTTCCACTTTAAGACCTCCCCCAAAGAAGGCACCTGGGCCCCTCGTAGTTGCGGGACAGACCCACTATGAAGTGAAACGTATTCTTGACTCTAGAATTTTTAAAGGGAAATTGCAGTACCTAGTACAATGGAAGGGATACCCATTGTCTGAAGCCACCTGGGTGAAATCCAGTGAGGTGAAAGCTGACAGGCTCGTCAAAAGGTTTCATGCGAAATACCCCAACAAACCGAAAACTAGTCATTAACATATGCTTTTGTTTACATTACAGGATCTGTCCTTTTTGTAAGGTGAGCTGGATGTCAACGCTGCTAATATTGAATATTCATGCTTTGACAAAAGATGCAGAACTGTCTGGTACTTTTAGAGTTAATTCAGTTGAGGGAGGGAGGAGAGGAAAGCCTGCGAAAGGAAACGGAAGAGAAACTTTGCCCTTCAAATTAATTGGAGAACGTAAATCATGACAGCAAAATAAGGGAGGGGAAATGCTAGCAAAAATAACTGCTCGGTGGGTGGAGATTTCAGATCTTAGCATCCCTTTTATCATGCCGTGCTGACATTTTGTCACATGAATAAAAAGACTTTTTAGGATAAAATGCCTGGAAGTTCTTTGAAGTGTTTCATTAGTCGGAACCTTGACATCAACAGCATCTGGAACCTCCCCAGAAAATATGTTTGGGGAACAGTAAGTAAAATCTTCATGGAAAAGCAGATCTAAAACTAGTTTGCTAAGTTGAACGAAATCCAGATCTAATACATGCATAACAATGGTGTATTTTCAGTAATACAAAAATGATGTAAGAGACTTGTATAGTAGTCTTCACTCTGTTCTATAAATAAAAAGTTCCTTCTTCAATTGTCTCTCTTTTTTCACTGGAAGAACTATCTATTCCAGCAACTAAAATTTTAAGGCAATACTTAAATATAACTTGCATTGTGATATTTATTAAGAGAATAATATTCACAACACATTGATGAAGCAGCACTTTAAGCCTAAATTTGATTAGGATGCAGGATGAAGATGTGAACAAATGGTATAATTTAACAAAAACATTCAGAAATTCTGTAAGTTTAAGTATATCCTATAATTAAATAAAAACTGGATTACATTAGAACTTTTTGGTGATTAAAGTAACAATAAAAACATCCCAGGTACATACTATCACAGAATTCCACCTTAATTTTAGTAACACTATTACATGTAATGTTGTAAAGCAAGAGTAAGTTAATATTTCAGTCATGAGACTATTCTAATTGGCAGGGTGCAGGTACCATGCAACGCATACACATTGCCAACACTCCCATCTCTCCCAGAGAGTCAGAACAAGATTGTAGTCACTGAGAGGGAGATGAGGAAAGATTTGGTACCCTGCTTGAACAAAAAAGAAGGAAGGAAGGAAGGAAGGAAGGAAGGAAGGAAGGAAGGAAGGAAGGAAGGAAGGAAGGAAGGAAGGAAATCTATAGTTTCTTTCCAATGACCCTCTGTAGATAGCTGGCTTCCCGTACTCATTTGCAGAAGGAAATAATTATACAGAAACAGCAGTTTCCAGTTAGTCAGTTGATCATGGTAGGGTATGTTCTAGTTCCACAAGTTGCATTTTTAATAACTGTCCACAATTGGACTACCATCTGACTGTCCCAATATAAGAAGTAAACAAACTGATTTAAAACAAACATCTCACTATAATCTCAAAGGATTTTTCATGAAGTCAGATATTAATCATTTAATCCTTTGACACTGATACGGTTCATAAATATTAACAATATACAGAATCATTTGAGAAGGAGAGTTAGAAAAAATGAATGAAATCTGTTAGCCTATCATTTTAAAAGAGAAGTCAACATTTTCAGGTATCCATCCAATCCTATTCAATTCTAACAGTATTTCTGGTAAATAAGTAAGCCTAATTCCTCAGAGAGCCAATTTTCAGAGGAATCCTGATTCCTACTCAGCTACTCAAATTTACGAGGTTGTATTTTGAACATACTTCCTATACACCAGGAATCCCCAGCCTCCACAGCTGTGGCCCACTACCAGGCCATGGCACGTTCAGAAACAGGTTGCACAAGTGGTAGGCAAGTGTGAGCTGCTTGCGCAAATGGAGTTGCACGCCCATGGAACCATTCCCTATTTCCCCCCCTGCTGGTCCGCCAAAGTTGGGGACCACTGCTATATACCACTCCTATGAACATTAAAATGAATGAATACATTGCATAATATAATTATATGCTGAGCATATTAAAGACACTTCCAAAACCAGTGCATTAAATCGCATAACTAAGAACCAGCAGCTGAAATATGTACCTTGTTAATATGCAACTGCTGTTGTTGAAATTGTTGTTTATGTTTTTCCAAGAATTGTTGATGTTGTTGCTGGATCACCAATTGCTGGAGGGCCTGTGCATTCTGGGGAAGGGGAGCAGACTGGGTGCGCCCCAGAGGACGGTGCTGCCGCAGTTTGTGTATTGTGGGAGATAGTCTATCAGCACCCACAATGGATTGTGCATGGAGAGGGACTGCCCCTAGTCCTAAAAGAAGCCAGTTAGAAAGTAACATGTAGAACAGCAGTGGAGAAGAAAGAACAACAGAAGAGAAAGAAGAATCATGTAAGTAATTATGTCCATTGTAGCAACATGATTTTTCATTTACTTGCTAATATTTGTATCCCAACTAGTTCTGCATTCCAAATAGCTAATATGTTAAACCTTAAAAAATAAACATGCAAACATAAATATAACTATCATAATTAAAAAAGGCATGATGAAAATACACAAGTATTAAGAACAATGTAGGCTGCCATTCTTAATCTCTAACTAGATCTTTAAAAATCAGATTCTTATAGCTGTAAAAGTGAAGGAGGATTAAACTAGTCTCTATGTCCTTTTTCTAATTTGCTGGTTTTTAAGACAAAATTAAACTAAGATAAAGAATTCTATATATGTCTATACTGCAATGTGAGACCCTATGTAAAATAAAGAAAAGCCTATGGAAAATTACTGAATTTGATTGTAAACATTATTAAAATAATAATTTTAAGTAAGCTTGACTGAACAAGTTTATTCCTCATTGTTGCCAAGAATAGTTACTGAATTCCTAGTAGGAAATTCAAAATTTTAGATATGTAAATAATTTTAAAAAATGATTCAAGAAATGGAGTAATTAGAAACTGGAAACAATAGCCAGCACTAGAGCACATATAGGCAGGAAGCTCAGACAATTCCGAACTCTAACAAAACCACCAATGCTGTTTCTTACTTAGTACCAAGTTAACTAGTTGCTGGAAGAAGCACCTTTACCTGAGACCAATGGATTTTGTGCAGTTGACTGTTCCAGTAAAACCATGTGTTGAAGAAGAGGGCTGTGTGTTGATCCCCCTTCTCTATCCACTGCTGTACTGCTCAAATAAGGAGTGATATGGGTGCCAGGAAATATGGAGATTCGTTGTTGTAATGATGGAATAGCAAGTCTTTCAGAATCTTGCTGTTCTGATCCACCCTGCAAGCATATAGCATTACTGGGTTTAAAAAGTGATCTGTGAATGAAGTTAAGGTAATGACTCCCTTTAAATTATACAATACCACTTACAGTACATGGGGCTGCTGCAGGTAGTCCTAAGGTTATATTAGGCAATGAGGGAGATGTATACAATGGAAGCTGTGTTATTGAACCTTCATGATTAACCAGTCTATGAGCCAAGGTGGTCTGAAAGAGAGCCAAAAATCCTGCCTCAGAATAATACCATTATAAAAAAGAAATACCTCGCATGTAATCATTATTTGGGGGGGGGGGCTTAAGGTATACTTTTGGCAGAGGAGAATCAGAAGAATTTAGAGGTCTATCAATGATATCAATTAGTACAGTATACAGAGTTAAGAGTTTATTGTATTCATCATCAAATACTGAAGCAGATGTGAACTCTGTTCAATATAAATTCTAAGTAACAACAGGAAAATGGGAATGGAACAATTTTCTTCCACTACTACAAGGAGGTCTTGGTGACAACAAAGTTATCTCAAGTAGGAGATTTTACTAAAAATGAAGAGCATACCAGGCTGCCCAGCTACTATTTAAGAGCACAGATATTGATTTTATTATGGGATGAAATTTATTACTCTGACTACCTCACTGGAATGTTAAACCAATGGGGGAATAACAAAACACTCACTTTTACAGAAGCACAAAACTCAATGAAAGAAGGATACCAAAAATGTTAGCCTTATTCCATCAATTATCATCAATGTATAAAGGAAGTTAAAGGAAATAAACAATGGAAACAATAAATGAAATTCCTGGTTATCAAACTCACTGCAGCATTATAATTTAATTTCATCATTTGAAAAAGATGTGAACATTTTCCTTCTACCTGAGAAATCATCATACAAAAATCCATTAAGTTTAATTGAATATGACTATATTTATATTCCATCTCCCTCCCAAAAACTAAGAGGGACTATGTAGAAAATCAAATCTGAAGAGGAAGTGGTCCTTTGGAGCATCCATAGGACCAGCCCTCAATTCCTGAACCCAAATATGCTTTTTTCTAGGACCGAGCTGCAGTTGAAGAGAACAGCCATGTGGTCCTGAGAAACACCAGAGCTGCTACAAAGAGTTACCAACAGGTGCTTCATGGGCACATGCTCTGAAACACTTTTTTCCTTCAAATGTGGTATCTGCGTGATTTTAGTACTACAGCTGATCTCCATCTCTTTAACACACAATAAGCCCATGAGATACAGTGATGTAGAGAGAGCATAATATTGTTGAAGAAAAAATCTTCAGAATCAAATTGTTTATCATCACACTGAGAGGTCTGAAAAACGCCACACTGTGTTGATAGCCACACTGTTTATGCTGCACATAAATGCTGCATATTGATTTAATTCCAGAATCCCAGTCAGAAATCAGAAGATAAGTAGCAGATAGAATATAATAGCAGGATTGGAACAATTATTCCATAGCTTAGAATTTTTCATATCAGGATTTTACAAAGAATTATATGTGATGAAAACATTTGTCAATTAAATGATACAAAGAAACACATTCAAGGAACTGGTACAGGGCTTTAAACTACTGCCGAGTTTAAATCTGTACAGTACGTATATTAAAATCTTTCTCAGATACTCTTCTTTAAATGCTACTATTTAAACGAGACAAGAAGCTATGGGAGAAGAGAATGTTTAGAATGACATATTTTATTAATGCAAATCTGATTCCAGAAAGGTTTAGTTGGTATATCCATTTTTTTTAATGCAACAGAAATATTTTCTCAAGCTTTCCGTCTCTTACGCAATTTCTCACCACCAACCCCCCCCCCCCCATACTTATTCAGATTATTTAGCTGATGTACTAAAAGTTGCGAAGAAGCCTAGCAGATCACCCTCTCAGCATAACTCATCACCAATGGGCATGAATACTCTCTACGTGATAACCAGATTTAAAAGCCAAATGGAAATGAATCTAGATACTCCTCCACATCCAGAAATTCCTGCAACTGAAGTGCCAACACATATTCCAGTACCATGTCTAAGAATTCTACATATACTTTAATAAGTTGTGTTTACTACTATCCTTACCCCAAAGGTCAGTACATCCTGCATGATTTTAAAATGACAAGAGACAATTAGTGTGTCTCATTTCTTCAAGGATCTTTCAATATCATATCCCCAGATAGTTCTCTCTCTCCCCCCCCACACACACATATTAAATTTAAATGCCACCCATCTCATCAAGAAGTGACTTTAGACAGTTTACAATCAAGTAAAAGCAACAAGATAAAATATTAAAATATTAACAGAATAAATAGTAACATTAAATTGACTTACAATTAAAAAAGATGGCAAGGAAAGAAACAAGATGCACATGAGGTAGAGTCTTATCTCAGTTCATTAACAACTCCAGTATGGCATGCCCCCAATGGAGCTCCAGGTAATTAGTAGACCCAGATTTGCATGCCCTTTTGGAAGGCCAAAAGGGTGAGTCCAGATCTCATCTTAGGTGACACAATATTCCAGAGAGTAGGACATGACAGAAAAGGGTCTTCTGCACCCTACCAATCAGAATTTCTTGGCTGATGGGATCTGTAGCAAGCCCCTTCTGCCAGAACAGATAGGCAAGCCAATCCCATTGGGGTGAGATGATTCCTCAGGTAACCTAGACCCAATCGAGAATGTATCATTGACCAGGAATGACATCTATCCAGCCAGGAATGACAGGGATCTAATTGGCAGGTAGTTGCACTGACAGCATTGAGAACCCTGTCCACTTCATAAGGTCCAACGTGATCAAACTGTTCCTAGATAATCAGGCAAGACATCCCAGACATCTCTAAAGGACCTGCTCCATGCTTACAACATTGAATGGATCCAAGCGACTTTGTCAAGTGTTTCATAAATTTCTCTGTGCGGCCCTGTGCATCTACCAGATGATCCTGAACAAGGCCACTGAATGATACTTTGTAGACTCAATAAGAGCAGACAAATCATGCTATTTTGCCACTCTTGCCATCATGAGGTAGGCCTTAATAGCAGCTTTAACTTGTGTCCAATTAGATTCATCCATTTTCTTTCAACGATGCTCTACACATCTCTTGGCCTTTTTAAGGACCTGCAGCTCCTTGGTGAATCACAGGGAGGATCAAGAGGCCACACAGGCACAATCCAGTCCAAACCTTAGCCATCCTTTGGTTCCAGGTGATAATCAGAACTTTGACAGGACCATACAGAAAAGCCTCCAGGATATCCCCCAATTCCTTCTGGAAACCATTTGGGTGCTTCGGTTGCCAGGGGTGGACCGCTTAAAAGAGTACAGCTTCTGGACTCTTCCCCAAGAGGGCTGCTGTAGGGTGAGAGTTTTTCTTTCTCCTACTCATGATCTGCTATGTTTATTCCAGAGCTGGCTTTTTGGCAGCCCTGTCCCCTGGATTTGAATGGGGGTACTTAGGAATGACCCAAAATGATTTTCGGACATCTGTGGACCCAACTGGGAAGGGGAATCTTGAGATTACAACTTCTTGGGGGAGTAGCTGGAAAATCAAGGGACTTTTATATCTCTTCCTAAGGACAGAGCATTTTTTAAGCAAGCCTTGTACTTTTAACTTCACTTTTTGAACTTTTGTTTTTGTTTTTTTATCTCTAAATGTTAATTGGGTTGCTGAATGATGATTTATTTCAACCTCCTATTAGACTTTATCTGTTCTGATTTCTCTTTATTTGATTGTTCTTACCAATTTCTCTTATTTCCGTACAGAAATACAACAGGTTTCTGGATGGTGAAAATGTTTATATTTGGACTATATTTTACTGAGTATTCACCATAGGGAATCTGTATTTTATTAAGTTGGATAAAAACAGTCAAAAACTATCCTCCCTGTTTCTTTTTTATTCCCTGCTCTGCTTATCTGCTTCACTGAGTACAACATATTGGATTACAAAGAGAAGGAGGAGGCTGACATTTTTGTTAATAATTGTCTGAGTTTTTAGCGTTGTATTTGCTTGCATTGGATTTCACGTTCCAGTTTGAGTTTTCGGCTTCGTTTTTGAATTTTTGTTGTGCTCTTTAAAACATTTTGTGTGTCTCTTTGTATTGTACTTTTTTAGTGTGCACTCCAGTTCGATATTATATTTTCTTTGTGTCTTTTTAATCTTTTTTACAGTGTGCGTGACTATATATATTTTCCTCGAATCTTAATTTAGTTTCAGAGTTTTCGTCTTGAAATTCTTAGTTCCTGCATTGCGGTTTGTTCTTATGCCCTTTTTATATTTCTTTTTGCGTCTTAAATTTCACTTGTAATTCAATCATTAAATGTGACGGGTGGCACCAAAATTTTTCAAACAGTTGAGATATGGAAAAAAGACTGGAAATAAATTATTTGCATCAATATGTCCTGATGACAATTTTAAAGAAAATAAAAAAGCGTTTGGATAAATTGAAGACTTATTTCCTATGTTGTGATTGAGAGGTTATGTTGGGGGAGGGGGGCGATGACAACTTCCTCATTGGCTCAAGATTAGGCGAGATCTGGCTTAAAAACAGTAACTGTGAGAGGGACCTTGGAGTCCTAGTGGACGATCACTTGACTATGAGCCAGCAGTGTGCAGCAGCAGCCCAAAAAACTAATAGAATCAGTACTGCAGGCCACTTTAGCTGACTGTATTCAGCAGGTCAGCGGTTCAAATCTCACCGGCTCAAGGTTGACTCGGCCTTCCATCCTTCCGGGGTAGGTAAAATGAGGACCCAGATTGTTGGGGGCAATGTAAATAAATAAATAAATAAATAAATAAATCTATCTATCTATCTATCTATCTATCTATCTATCTATCTATCTATCTATCTATCTATCTATCTATATGCACATATACATACATTGCTTACTGGTGTACACCGCTTAGAGAGCGCTCGCACTTAAAGCAGTATATAAGTCTCATAAATAAATAAATAAATAAGACTAGTATGTACCTAGCTCCTCCAAGAGAGGGCACCATAGGACCAATTAAATCAGCGTGCACTAACTGCAAAACCCTGTTAGTTTCCCTCTTGTTTTTCTTATTTACAGGATACACGCTAGATTTTGACTCCTTGCAAATAGCACAATCTAAATATGTGTTGCATTTTTAAATTCTAAATCTCTCAGCGAGATCTGGCATTTTCTGCAGCACTTTAAAACTTGCATGTCCTAACCTTCTGTGTAATAAATATACGCAGTT